TCTTGTCCGTGGCTCCTGGGGCTAAGTCATTGCTGAGCCACCAGTCTTCTGCTCCTGAACATGCGCTGTTAAAGGGGGGGGCAGGCAGTTCGCTTTGGTTTTTGATGTCTGCAACTTCCGTCAAGCTTCAGGCACTCTGAAAATCTGCGGCGAGCAAAATCCGCTTCTGAAAGTGGCACGAGGAGGCAGTGGGAGTTGGAGGAGGGGGCACCCTGTGATTGTAGCACAGCTCCTGGAAAGGCAGCACCACTGACGTTAAGCACGTGCTGGTAACTGCCTGAAGTATCCTTTAACTGTGCGGTGGTTTGTTGCTGTAAGCTGCTCTTTGTTTTCTGCTAGGACCAGCAACAATGGGAATATTGAACTTCTTGTGTTGGGGTTGAGTCTCAAGGATCATTGGCTGGATTTTTGGCTGAATGGGCACCGGTGTTAAAGAGTGCTTGTACTGCTCACTCGGTGCATCCCCCGGGAAAGATGGGAAGGCTGATTGCTACATGCTGTCCTTCCCTCTTTTTTTTTTTTTTCCCCTTTGATCACCAGAAAAAAAAATCATAATCCCATCTTAAAGCAGGTGGGAGGGAGCTGAATGAATTCCAAAATACATGAAGTGGTGGTGAGGCAGATCAGAGGATTGTTGGTGGCTGTTGCTGCTTTTGTTAAGCTACCTGACTGCCTGTTCCCCTGTTTACCTTCTATGGACATACCCTGCAGAAATGCAAGTTTTTCTTAATTTGGATAGCTAAAATTCAAACTTTATTAATAAAGTTGTGAGGAACATGGCAGGTTATACAGAAGGCTGAATTTAGTGAATCTTGCTCGGTATTCCTGATCAACTACATGAGCGTTACCAACACAGAACAGTGGTAAGACTTTAATTTCTTTAAAAATAACTGTTTTTGTACAGTATTAGCACGATGTGCCTGTCCTTCCATGGGCTCACACCTTGCTGCTGCCAGGTGCCTCCAGAACACGTGGGGCAGGCAGGAGTCTCCTCTTGCTCTTGCTCTGCCAAAGCCATGAGAATGGCTGGTTGGGGAGGCTCTTTTGCCTTCACACTGTCTTTAAGAGTTAATCTTATTATTTTTACCTAGGGATTCGAATTCTCCTCCGTCCAATGCCTCTTGCAGATAAAGTGCCCTCCAGTGCCGGTAGTTACTTAGGAGGAGCCGCGGTGCGGATTCGCTGCGGGGAGGGCGCGCTGCAGGTGCCTGGGTGAGGTTTGATCACTTTTTCCAGCTTCCACAGTAGCAGGGGGAGCCTGGGGAGAGTTCTCTGCTTAATTACGGCTCCCTCGCCCTGCCTGCTCTGAGCAGAGGAGCCCTGTGAAAGCATCAGAGCTGCAAGAGGAGCTCTGGCCTTCTGCTTCTCTGTTGGGTTTCAGTGATGCCAAGAGGAGAGTGATGAAAAAAAAATAAAAAATCCCATTCTGGGTGGAAGTTGGTGGCTGGAGAGAGCAGAGAGCGTCACCTCTGCAGCCTCGGAGGCTTTCCCAGTGCTGAGCAGCAAGCCTGCTTCTGCTTTGGTTGCATTCAGTCGCAGGGCTGGGACTGAGCTGTGCTTCCCCACAGAGTTTTTGGGATGCCCGCTGGCCTGTGCCAGGCTCCCCCAGAGGTGCTGAGCCACACATGGGCAGCGCTGGCCCTTGTGCTGTGGCACTTGTGCCTCTGGTCCTGCACTGTCCTGCAAAACAAGGGTGGGCGCAGCGCGTCCTGCAGGCCCCTCGGCAAGTCGTCCCCATGCAGGAGCTCGTGGGGAGGGCTTAGGGCGGCAGTCCAGGAGCTGGGCTGCTCGTGGCTTCTTTCTCCCCTCGCTGAAGCAGAAATGCTCTTCCAGGTGCCCGTACGGCTCTGCTTGCTGAGGTGCTTTTGGGGCTGGCTGCGTGGATCCCAGCAGGAGCTGGGGGATCTGTCAGGAGCCTGCTGCTGCCTTAGAGACCGCGGGGAGCAGCGCTGGGGAGGCGGCCGTGCTCGTGGGATATTTGGGGAGAATTGCACAGAGCTGCACCGCTGTGATCTTGTGCTGGCTTAGAACAAAGCTTTGCACAAACGGGACTTTCGCTCTTGACTGATTATTTTAATTTGCGTCTTTCATGTAGGGATGCGTGCCTCCAAATGCATTAACTTAAAGATATTTTTAGCAGTTCTGTATATTTGGAAACATACTGGCTAATGAAAAGCTGTAAATCTGCAGTCTCTTGAATTCCTTTAGATTTTGCTCACACCAAACTTTGGGCAAGTTCCTCGGGCGTTTTGCCAGCGCTCTTTCATAAAGTGAAAGTGTTTCAATTTTTTCTGCCTTGTTCTTTCTAATGACTATTTGAAAGGTTTGGCTCGTGTGTGACTGCTTTGAAGCTGGAAATCATTAAGTAATGACGAGCAGTACATTTATCAGCCTCTCATTCTTTGTATAACAACTTCATTATTCGCTTGCATAACCCGAGAGTATTCCTTTTTCCAGGGGCTCCAAGATGGGCAGCGATGACGAGGTGCTGGTGCCGCGTGGTGGCACCGAGTGCTCAGGGCGGTGGGGTCCCTGTGTCAGTGCTGGTTCCTGCTGCTCGCTCCCCGCAGGCCTTGGGGAGCTGAGCGGTGGCGTTCCTGGGATGGAATTTGAAAGCAGCTTCTGTGCCGTGTTTGCAGATGAGGATGAGAGGAGCACAGGGGTTACGAGGATTGCTCTGACCAGGTCTCATCCATGTCCCTGTGAACCCGCAGGGAGCTGCAGGAGGCTGGGGCCAGGCTCTGCGTGGTGCTGCCCAGGGCAGGAGCAGAGGCCCCGGGTGCAGCCTGCAGCCAGGAGGCTCCCCCTGGCCCCCAGCAGCACTTCTGGGCTGGGGGGGTGCTGGAGCCCTGGCACTGGGACCAGGGGCTGGGGGTCTCCCCCTGGGGGGTCTCCAAACCCACCTGGGAGTGAGGCTGGGGGGCCTGTGAGGACGCTGGGTGCCCCCAGCCTCAGCCAGGCTGCGGTTCTGTGCTGAGCTGCTTACATCCCATCCCTGGTAGCGACGTGTAGCCCCTGACAACTTTTGGTCGTGGAATTCAAGACCTAATGTAACAGGGCACTGCAGCCCCTCCCAACCCCAAAGCCCCTCGTGAACCCCTCTTCCTGCATCTTCTTAATGCCGGCCTCTGGGCAGCTGCCTTGTTCTGTACCTCTGAGGATTTTAATTTTTTTTCCCAAAATGTTTGTCTGCATCCTTGAGCTGTCCAAACCTTCATTATCCATTCAAACCAGAGATCTGTAGAATTTTACAAAAACTCCTGGCTTCAGTGGCCGGGCAGAGAATTGTGTTGATTAGCTCGGCCTTCGGAGTAATCAGTTCCCTATTGATCGTCCTCAGGCACGCTGCCTTGCCGGCGAGGACTTCCACTGTGAGCCCTGGGATGTGCACGCTGGAGGTCTGAGGCTTGGAGCAGGTTTGGCACAGCAGCACCTACGGACACTGGATTTCCAAACCCCAAAATGTGCTGTTGGAATGAGGAGGGCAGGCAGCTCACATGGAAAAATTGGGAGTATAAAAAGATGACAGCCATGAGCGTGAGGCTGATGTCAGGCAAGCAGTGTTGCAGATCAAAATTAAGGTTAAATTTGGAGGTTAAATGCTCCTTTTCAGGCTAGGACAGCACTGCGTGGGCTCATTTCCTTCACACCAGGATGTGGGAAGGCTGTCCCAGTAGGATGGGGCTCGTTCGTGTCCCCGAGGCCCTAAAATATGAAGATCCTTGAAATGCTTTTCCAGGGAGAGCGAGATGGGTCCTGGTCCCCCCTCTGTGCGCTCGGTGGTACAGGGGGCTTTTGGGGCCTGCTGGGGCTGTCCCTGAAGCCCCAGCTCCCTGTGGGCTGTGTGGAGGTGTGAACGCCGGCGTGGCTCTGGGCTCGAGAAGATCCACGGGGTGCTGCGTGTGCCAGGACTCAAATACAGCTGTGACAGAACCAGGGCTGGAGCAGTCCCACGGGTTGTGCAGAAATATGGTTTATCTGGACAAGCACAGCAAGCAAATGCCCAAATGGTAGAGATGTTCTGGATTTCCATAACAAAGCAGCTTTTGAGTACTAATTATGCTCTGTTAAACTTGTGCTGAAGTTGTTATTCGGAGCTTTTCTTCTCACCCTTTTAAGTAGAAATACAGCAAAGATCCAAACTTCAGATTAATTTCCAAAGCAGTTTGATTTTGAAGGGCTGTGGAGGAGCAGCAGGCTGAGCTTTCTCTGCAGTTCTGTGTCAGGGGGCTCATGTGGTCCTGAGCATCTGAGCATCCAGCTAAGGAGCTGCTCCGATGTGATGAGGGCGCAGTGCCCTGCGAGCACCCTGCTGTGCTGGGGGGGCCTCCCCTGGCAGCAGTGTGTGCAGGGCTGGGGGTGCAGGGAACGCCTGCCCTGGTGTTCCCTGGGGTAACCCCGCTGTGTGTGGGTCGGGGCTGTCCTTGGGATGGGCACTGACACTTTCTGCACGGTGACGTGCCCGTGGTGAGGGGGGTCCTGGCCTCCAGCAAGGCAGGGGATGGGGCAGGTGAAGCCAAGCTGGTCCCATTGTGAATCCTCGGCTGCAGCCACTGGGGGCTGGCTCCTGGCCCCTGCGCCCTCCTGAAGGCCGGAGGGCCCCTGGACATGAAGCGCGGGGATTGTTGCTGCCGGCAGTCTTGGAAGGAGTGAAAATGACCTTTGGGTTTCCCTGACAACCTCAAACTTTCTTTTGAAGTGATGTCAGGAGGAGCAGTGTGCTCTTGGAGGAGGTACAGCTCTCGCAGCTGAAGCGAAGGGGCGGTTCAGCCCTGTGCTCACAGCCTGATGGAAAGGTTCACGCTCCTCCCGTGCTACAGGAGGGGAGGGGTGATTAAAAGGGGTAATTAAAAGGACTCATCTGACGTGCTGCTGGCTTTGCACACCTACAGTACTATCACAGATTTTGAGTAAAGGGCTGTGGGGAAGTTTGTTCAGGCAGAAGTCTTTGACTGTCAGTTGCCCTTGGTTAACAACCACTTTCTAAATTTTTTTACCAGGATAGGAAGCTCGAGAGAGAATTCACACTGGATGAAAACAATTTCCTGAAGCTGGATATATTCCAGGAACCATAACCCAAATGTTTCTCTGTCCGTGGAGAAGATTTCACGTTTGAAATAACTTGTACTGAAGGTACGCACGTCTACCTTTTCTTTTGAAGCTCAGTAATGTCAGCACGTTTCGTATTTCTGTAGTGTGTGTGCTGGTGGTCGCTGCTGAGGTTGGTGTTGATATTTCACACCTGGAGGCGTTTCAGAAGGAACTGTAACATCACCAGGAGGGTCCTGCTGGTGATTCGGGGCTGGTTGTGTGCAGCTGGGGAGCTCTGCTGCTGTTGGATCTGCAGACTGGGCCTGGTGTGCTGGGCGGGATACTCCCTAAAAGCAGGCTGAACTGCCAACTGCTTCCCAAAACATGAACTTGAATTTAATGCCCACAGTTAATGGGAAGAAGACAGAACATTTATTTTTTTTTTAACTTTCCGGTGGCTATCTATAATTCTGGAAGCTGCTTGTGGCTCTTCTAAGAAGTGGCAAGATGGAAATGACACACAGAAAAAAAGCTTGGTCACTGGGGTAGTGAAAGTGAATAGGCGTGACGTGAGAGTGAAAGGTTTTCATCGGGTGAAACTGGAAGCATGCACCAAAGTGATCAAGCAGGCAGCTTAAAGCAAGTGGAAGTGCCCTTGCATGCAGCCTGTAATTACCCAGGGGACTTGGTGCCCCAGGGTTATTTGGAGATGTCCTGGCTCTGTGAGGCAGGGTGCTGGGCTGGCTGCTCGTGGGAGCAGGCAGTCCTTGCTGGATCCATGCACGTGGTGGAGCTGATGGACTCGGTCATGTTCCTGTGCGTATTTCAGTTAGGAAAAGCTTTCTTAATGCTACAAAGGTAAGAGACTGTGTGTGAAGAAAGGTTTCTCTGGGGGAGTAGGCTGTGAAGGAGCCCCCTTTCCTCTAGAGAAGTACTAGAAAAGTCTGCTGAACCCTTGGATGGAGTGAAAGCATTCTCAAAGCTCCTGAGAGAATTCAGGAGATCCCCAGGTTTGTTACAGGTGAGCTGCAGAAAGAGGCACTGCTGCTGCTGGAGCTGGTTATGGTTATGTAGCCTGTCGGACCTGATGGTTTGAAACTGGTGAAAATGGTTCTAGAAGCCATTTGAGCTGCAGCACGTGAATGGTAACAAGGCGGTTGTCTGTGCCAGCAAAATAGATAGAAATAGAAAATAGTTGGAAATAAGTGTAGCCCACTGACAAATTGCAGTCATTCTCGAGACCCAGCTGGCTCAGGACGTTGATAGCTGCTCCTGCAAAGGATGTGCTGGGGGAGCTGAGAGCAGGGTTTGGGGAGGGTGGGCACTCAGCTTGCTGGCAGCCTCCAGGTTGGTGGTTTATTCTGAACTCTCAGTGCTGCAAAACGTTTGAGGATCCTTCATAAACCTGGTTTCTGTCAGCTGGTCTAATGAACTCGGTGTGAAGAGAATTGAGCTTTTGGACACCATCACCTTCTATGCCAGTAAACTCCTCGGGGTTTTTTCTTGCTGTGTGGAACATAATTAGTACTTCATTCTGCCTGCTCTTAAATTGGCTGCTTGATAGCTTTGAGGTGTCGCCATTCTGAGGTTTGTAGGAAGCTGTAAATGACTGACTGCCTATCCTCCTCCTCAGCGCCATTCACGGCTCTTTGTATCTGCTGGGTTCCTGAGCTGCAGCCATCCATCAAGTCGAGTTTCATGCGGCTTGGGAAGAAGCCGCGCTTGCTCTAGTTCTGCTCAGTCCCGTAGGGGAGCTGATCAGACCAGCTGTACTTGTTCTCGCTCTGCTCTCTTCGCAGGGAAGCTAACCAGACCAGTGCTGGAGATGCAAACACACGATAGTCAAAACGAAGTCACGCCTTCTGTTTACTTGCTTATTCCTACTCGTAATAAATCCTGGTGCTGCTTTTACGCCCTTGGCTGCTGCTCCGCATGGAGATCCTTGAGCAGTGGCTCCCCGATCTTCTCCTAGTGGCTGTAACAAGCAGCAGCTGTTTAATTTGTTAAAGTGCCACATTGCTTCCGAGGAGGGCTGCTTGTTTGCTCCGTGCTGGCTGCAGCACTTGATCCTGGTGGAAGCCAGGGAGGTGGCTCCAGTCCCGAGACAGCTCCACGAGCCCGCGGGTGGAAGGAAGGAGGTCCCGAGCCTGGGGTGGGCAGGCAGAGGAGTGCGAGCGTGTAGGAAGTTCAGAGGAAAGAAACAGGACAGCGTGGGATACACCTCGGATCAGCGTGGTGCTGGCACTGCCTGTCTGGGCACCGGGTGGCTGCAGGGCCCTGCTCAGAGGGGCACTGACGGCTCGCGGGTGGCTGCTGGGTGCTGGGTTTCCTGCCATGGGCAGAGCACGGGGTTCGAGCTGCCCTTTTCGTGTCCAGTTGCTAATTACCATGCGATCGTTCTGCAGCTGGTCGTCAGCTTTGAGGTTTAAGCTAAATGTTTTTCTGTGGCTAGTAAATGCTGCTACCTTGCTGCTCGTCTTTCTCCTGATGTTACTTACAAATACATCGAGGAGCTCTGGTTCTTTTGGGGCCTTACCTGCTGCATTTTTCTCTTACTCTTTATGTTTATACCAGCTGCTGATTGACAAGAAACTGAGCTTTTCCTTAGGATTATTTGGAGCAGTCTATACAAAATTCCTCTTTGGGGTTTCAGGTGAACCACTGATCTTACTGTTCTTGGCCATCTGTTTGTTTTTGTTGTGTTTTTAATAAATCACATAACAATTTGCTTTAAGCAGACTTTTTGAAAGTAAGTTTCAGACTTCAAGTTCACCAGGTTAAATAATGTGATTCTTTATTTCCTGCACTGGTTGTTCAGCAACAGGTGTTTTAAAGCTGTCAAGTGTTTGGGTGAGTCCCACTAGTCCTGGTGATCTGCTGTCATCTCACAGCTGTGTTCTGAAGCCGTCTCTGTTCGTGCTGCAGTTGGAGATAATTCTCCAGGTGGTTTTCTTTTTCCCCATGAAGAAAAGTTTGATCATTTGTGCTTATAGGGGAAATTAAAGAAATTTCATATGAGAATTGAGCAAAAAAAAATCATAGAATTCATTTCAGGAATCCACGTCTGGTAAGACCAAGGAGACATGTCGAAGTGAGTGAGACCTAGCGAGACTCTTCACCCCTGACTTAGCTGCTGAAGCAGTTGGCCTTTCATGTTTTCACTAGACAGGATGTTACAGGAGAGTCAGAAGGATTCAAAAACGCTTTCATTTTGGAAACAAGAAGGATAATACACCACTCAGCATTTCCATGTGTTTCCACTTAGTTGCTAAGTGGAAAATGTTCAATGTTTTATTTTATCAGGAATGGGCTTAAATAGGCTTAAATAAAAAGTCCGTAAATCTTGGTAATTTCCTCCCAGTTTCCAGGAGGAGTTGCCTGTGGTGATTTCTGGCCCTCCAATGTTCATTTTTACTGGTCTTGGAGTACTGAACTGCTCCAAGAGCATTCTAGAAGGTAGGAAAATGGTGTGGGATTTTGGTGCGTGTGCGCCCGTATTCAGTAAAGCTCAGGGTAGCCTTTGGTAACTATGGAAATAGCTACGGGAATGATCCTGGACAAGATGCAAATGCAGTAATTAAGACATAAATTCATCCGAAGTTTTAGGGAAAGCAGGAAATGTGTGCGTTTATGGCAGCCAGAGAACTGCAAGGTGCTGTAGGTGTTACGGTAGCACAAGTATCGGGCTGCCTGTCGATGAATTTTAACCACGTGTTATTTCTGCAGGCTTTTTTCTAGTGAACGTAGAGGCCTCTGTCAAACTTAATGACACTTGGTGAAGGCTTTAAAAAAAGCCCTCCCTCCACCCCAGCACAACTGTTAACTGAAATAAAGGCCTGACCACAGGGCGGAAATCGCTGCTAGGCGGAAGGATGAGACAAAGCGAGGCAGGAGGGGCAAAGCAGTCGCTGAAGGCCCCCCAAAAGAGAAAGTAGGCTTTTGATGCTACCTGGGTAAGCAGTGAGACAAAACGTGGTGCTGACTGAACCACGCGGTGAGAGAACTCATTTATTTTGTGTGGCTATCTGCCCCAGCATCTGTGCTCAGTCACCAATGGCTCTGCGTGTTCTGCTGGTTCCTGATTGAAGCCTGTGCATACCTTGTAAATATTAAAACATTCCTGGAGTGTAGTGTTGGCAAATAGCAAGTGTTTGAATGACAGCTTAATTCTACGCCTATGAAATTTAGAAACGTTCTCCACAAAGCAGTTAATCTCCAGAAATGGCGTTGTGCAGTCACAGGAAGCTCGGTTCCTGAAGTCGTCGTGGTTCTCCCTTCGGTGCTCCTGCAGAAATGCACAACCAGCAGCTTTAAAGGGCTTCGGTTGTCTGACTGAAAAAGCAAAAGCTGTTGCTACTTTGCAGCTGACGCAGATGATCCAGACTGAGTCCTGATACCCGAGGTGTGGCAGGTGCCAGGAGTAAGGTGTGTTTTTGGGGACGTGTTGGGGCCTCATCTGGTTTGGTGCCCGAGCGTAGCAGGGCTTAGTGCAGCTGTGCAAGTGTCTGCCAGCACAGATCATTCATTTCATTAGCAAACTGGAAGGGTGGTGATACCTGGCTTGTTCAGAAGCATGTAGGAAATGTTTGTCTTTCTGTTCCGGTACTGAATTACAAGACTAACAAGCCCTGCCTCCTCAGAGCTCTGCATCTGGTATTTCTTGCCCACAAAACATGGGGAGGAGGTGGGGATGTGTTACTGACAGGCAGGCACTGAGGAGCAAAAACCTTGCTGCAACAAATCTGTGTCCTTTCCTGCTCACACAGGTGAGCACAGCCATGGACCACGTTTAAAGATGTTTTTACAGAAAACTGCAACAGCTAAGCCACTTAGCATTTAAAAATACAAGGAGCACCTTTTGGGCACCTTAGTTTTGTTCATTTTTTTTTTCTCCTGTCCTCCATCTCCTCAGTATCCTGTGTTTTTTATCTGCCTCCTCCCTGTGTCTGGAAAGCACCTGCCTGCCTTCAAGGCTGTGAATTGTCATACAGGCATCAAGGCAGTCTTCTATACAAAATGTTCTGAGCCTGACCTGGTTCTTGCTGTCAGTTGCAATGTGAAATATTTCCTGTTACTCCTAATGGTGTGATTTGTCAGAGCTT